CTTTAAAGACAAAGAACTTGTGATTTATTTTTAATTTTATTTGTTTTGAGTTTTTAAAGTTGAATACTTTCTGAATAATTAGAAGCCTCAGCCTGAATAATATTGTTGGACACATGACACTAACAGAAATCGGAAGTAGTGGATGTGGTTTTTGAGAAGGTCTTAGAAAAAGCATGGCCAGATAAGAAAACACCGAAACACGTGTGATTGATATTGAGTTGGATCACTTGAGTTGGATCTCTAATAGAACCCAGAAGGAAAAGATAAATTGCATTTTATTCCTTCTCACCATAGAATCTCCTGGCACAAAGATGAAACCGATTCCTGTCAGATGGGATTAACTCAAAGACCCCAACCATTGATGAAGTTGACCTAGTCTCATATAAATGGATATCAGATAATTTTTAGAATTTCCTTGGAGTTCTCAAGGAAAGAAAGGGAACTGGCCACCCTATCACATACATCAGAGCCTAGAATATGTGAAGACCTGATATTTCACAGCCCAACAGCAGCGTCTGCTATGGGACAACCTTGACCTTTACTACTGTCACCATGTCAACTCTGTTATCAGTACTGCTTGCACTGCAAGCTTTTCTGCACGAAACTGTAGTAAAGTGTGAACATATTTAGTTAGGTCTTTTATTATACTGCAAACGTAAACTATCGCAATGACAGTTGCTGATAACACAGTGTGTTGCTTGGATCAGAAAGTAACTCTTTTGGCTCCAGAAAAAAATCTGACCACTTCCGGACCTGGGAAGTGCCGGATTTGTTAAAAATCCTGATTTTTTAAAATGGTTATATATGCTGTAAATATTTAGCAGAAAAATTACCTGTACAGTTCTCCAAAGAAAGCAAATTAAACACTAAGTAGAAAGTTAATGAAATTTGTATGTTCACCAGCGAAATAAAAGAATTCTACAGAATTTTAATTCAACTGAATATTTAAAACAAATCCACAGAATTTTAATTTGAAAATGTTCTCTGAAATGCATGCTTTAAATCTGAAGGAACTGGATTATTGATGGCTGGGTCATTGAGTGGCAACTTGCATTGATAACTGCCAATGCTCAGGGGAAAGTGATGAGAAAAGAATCATGACAATTTGTCACAGGTTCTTCTATCATTCTAAGTTTAGGCTTCAGGAATTGTTTCAGTCCAAAGAGAGTAACACAATAACGTGTCATATATAGTGAGTTAATAGAACAACTCTGTAAAAGAAGGAAGTCAGAAAAGGATACTCTTCTGTGTGTGAATTCCGAGACCCAAATTTGTGTGTGTTGGAACAGAGTATAACTCTTTGTCACCATGATCAGCTGTTGTTTGTGAGGGCTTTTTTTGTAAAGCATATGTTTAAATTACTGCTGCTTTGAAACTTCAAGGAGTAACTTCTTTTTCTTTCTTTCAGCCTAAGGTTTTGAAGAGGTATCTGGTGTCTGCCTTGGCATGTGCTGTGTAGTTGATGGTATTTAGAACATTCCATCTATCCATTGCTTGCTAGATCTCCTTCCATTTGTCTGAGTGACAGGGCTCTCTTTCTGATACACTATCTAGTGGTAGTCTTGACACATGTCCAGACCATTTGAGCTGTTATTCCAGGATGTAGTTTGGTACTGGTTTCACTTCAAGCTTGTTTCCTGTTATTGTCATATCTCTTCCTGCCTCTTCTATTTATGTTTAGGATTAAATCTAGACATCTCATGTCTGATGCTTCCATTGTTTTTTATTTTGTTGTTAAAATCCACGTTTGGCACTGGTAACACAATATTGTTAAACAAATACTTTGTTAAATAGTGCTTGTTTGGTGTCAGTTGTTACATGTGTGTGTGCTTGTTTGGTGTCAGTTGTTACATGTGTGCGTGCTTGTTTGTTACATGTGTGCGTGCGTTGTTTGTGTCAGTTGTTACATGTGTGCGTGCTCAGTTGTTACATGTTTGCGTGCTTGTTTGGTGTCAGTTGTTACATGTGTGTGTGCTTGTTTGGTGTCAGTTGTTACATGTTTGTATGCTTGTTTGGTGTCAGTTGTTACATGTGTGTGTGCTTGTTTAGTGTCAGTTGTTACATGTTTGTATGCTTGTTTGGTGTCAGTTGTTACATGTGTGTGTGCTTGTTTGGTGTCAGTTGTTACATGTGTGCGTGCTTGTTTGGTGTCAGTTGTTACATGTGTGCGTGCTTGTTTGGTGTCAGTTGTTACATGTGTGTGTGCTTGTTTGGTGTCAGTTGTTACATGTGTGTGTGCTTGTTTGGTGTCAGTTGTTACATGTTTGTATGCTTGTTTGGTGTCAGTTGTTACATGTGTGCGTGCTTGTTTGGTGTCAGTTGTTACATGTTTGTATGCTTGTTTGGTGTCAGTTGTTACATGTGTGCGTGCTTGTTTGGTGTCAGTTGTTACATGTTTGTATGCTTGTTTGGTGTCAGTTGTTACATGTGTGTGTGCTTGTTTGGTGTCAGTTGTTACATGTGTGCGTGCTTGTTTGGTGTCAGTTGTTACATGTGTGCGTGCTTGTTTGGTGTCAGTTGTTGCATGTTTGTATGCTTGTTTGGTGTCAGTTGTTACATGTTTGTATGCTTGTTTGGTGTCAGTTGTTACATGTTTGTATGCTTGTTTGGTGTCAGTTGTTACATGTGTGTGTGCTTGTTTGGTGTCAGTTGTTACATGTGTGCGTGCTTGTTTGGTGTCAGTTGTTACATGTGTGTGTGCTTGTTTGGTGTCAGTTGTTACATGTGTGCGTGCTTGTTTGGTGTCAGTTGTTACATGTGTGTGTGCTTGTTTGGTGTCAGTTGTTACATGTTTGTATGCTTGTTTGGTGTCAGTTGTTACATGTGTGTGTGCTTGTTTGGTGTCAGTTGTTACATGTGTGCGTGCTTGTTTGGTGTCAGTTGTTACATGTGTGCGTGCTTGTTTGGTGTCAGTTGTTACATGTGTGCGTGCTTGTTTGGTGTCAGTTGTTACATGTTTGTATGCTTGTTTGGTGTCAGTTGTTACATGTGTGTGTGCTTGTTTGGTGTCAGTTGTTACATGTTTGTATGCTTGTTTGGTGTCAGTTGTTACATGTTTGTATGCTTGTTTGGTGTCAGTTGTTACATGTTTGTATGCTTGTTTGGTGTCAGTTGTTACATGTGTGTGTGCTTGTTTGGTGTCAGTTGTTACATGTTTGTATGCTTGTTTGGTGTCAGTTGTTACATGTGTGTGTGCTTGTTTGGTGTCAGTTGTTACATGTTTGTATGCTTGTTTGGTGTCAGTTGTTACATGTGTGTGTGCTTGTTTGGTGTCAGTTGTTACATGTGTGCGTGCTTGTTTGGTGTCAGTTGTTACATGTGTGTGTGCTTGTTTGGTGTCAGTTGTTACATGTGTGTGTGCTTGTTTGGTGTCAGTTGTTACATGTTTGTATGCTTGTTTGGTGTCAGTTGTTACATGTGTGTGTGCTTGTTTGGTGTCAGTTGTTACATGTGTGTGTGCTTGTTTGGTGTCAGTTGTTACATGTGTGTGTGCTTGTTTGGTGTCAGTTGTTACATGTGTGCGTGCTTGTTTGGTGTCAGTTGTTACATGTGTGTGTGCTTGTTTGGTGTCAGTTGTTACATGTGTGCGTGCTTGTTTGGTGTCAGTTGTTACATGTGTGTGTGCTTGTTTGGTGTCAGTTGTTACATGTTTGTATGCTTGTTTGGTGTCAGTTGTTACATGTGTGCGTGCTTGTTTGGTGTCAGTTGTTACATGTTTGTGTGCTTGTTTGGTGTCAGTTGTTACATGTGTGTATGCTTGTTTGGTGTCAGTTGTTACATGTGTGCGTGCTTGTTTGGTGTCAGTTGTTACATGTGTGCGTGCTTGTTTGGTGTCAGTTGTTACATGTGTGCGTGCTTGTTTGGTGTCAGTTGTTACATGTTTGTATGCTTGTTTGGTGTCAGTTGTTACATGTTTGTATGCTTGTTTGGTGTCAGTTGTTGCATGTTTGTATGCTTGTTTGGTGTCACTTGTTATATGTCTGTATGCTGTGATTTACTCAAGGAATATTACTAGGCTAATTCATTCACTTGTTTACTGTCAGGCTGATTGATCTATCCCTGTTGTTATGAACTTACTTCTCCAACCAGTTCAGTGTTGGGTTCAGCCCACCCAGTCTTTTATACCGGGTACTAGATATATTTCAAGAAAGGAAAGTTGATGGGAAAGAAAGATGGACATTCCAACTCATGATTCCATAATCTGTTGATGTTCATGTGGTAGATTCTTCACAGGTCATTCTCAACACAGCACATCAGATTCTCATCTTTTACAAGCTCTCCTAGAGACTAGGGCACATTTGATCGATATCATTAAAACACATGAACAACAGGCAGCTTTCAATGTTGCTGATGAAATATCAAACTTTTTTGGAGTGCAGATGGGAGGGTTACGTCCACTCCCCATACCTGTTCAACACATTTCCAGAAAATATCTTAAACGAGAAACGCAGTGAATATTTATATCCAGTCATACGTGATGGGAGTCTTTCCATGAGCTCACAATTTAGAGAATAGTTCTCGCAAATAGCTCATTGTTTCTGTTTAAATAAAAACAAAACAAAACTGACGATATAAAAAAAAAATAGTTCACACACACAGCATGCAAAAAATAGCCAGAAGTGACAACGTTTAAAACATCACAAACTCCAAATACCTTGGCTTTATGATTCTGAAGAGGGGTTGTTTGAAAGAAGTCAGAAAATACTGTTAGTCAAGAAAGGGCTGTTTGAAAGACGTCAGAAAATACTGTGTCAGGCAGAAAAGAACTACTAACATTTTACCAGGTTTTAGAATGAAACAAAAACTGCCAGTTAACAACCATTAAATCCTGGTAACGGAATTACAGTATTACATTTCTGATTGATCTGATTGTGAACTGTTAAGTTGCAGAGTACACTGAAAAAGAGATAGGATACATATTTAATGCGTGTATTAACGTTTTGTTTGTTGTGCCTGCTTTACAGATCATATTCAGAGTTTCAAGCTAAACTGTAGCTGAGATGGACTTTCTGAAATCATTTGCCCACCCAGACGAGGTGATGGCCCTTCTTCGCTTCAAATTTGGAGGTTGTGAGGTGGTCATGCCTAAATGTGACTTCGTAAGTTGGTTTTCTATTTCTTCTTCTTCTTCTTCGTTTATTTAAGGACATAAATGCATTGTGCCATTTACAACATGGCTGTGATTTGTATGCCTTTGGGCTGACACATGCAGCTTCTGCGGGCATTTGTTGCCCATTTTAACTTCCTGGTTAGTTTCGTTGGTCATTGCAGTCTCGTTGTATGGTCATCTGTGTTTCCTAGTCCACAGGTTGTGCCACCCATCAGGCCGGCCTAGAGCAGCTACATAATGCTGGCCATAGAAGGCAGGGGCAGAAAATTAGCACTACCCGTCTTCCAACTAAGCTTTCAATAATGCATAGCTAGTACATTGTGCTGTTGTACTGGGCTCACCCAAGGAATTATCACTTCCTGCTCATGACACTTCGATGAGGTACAAGGTGGAAGAGAAGAAGAAGAAGAAGCTTATGGCTGTTTAACTACACTTCTGATATTGAACCTCTCACTCATCGCAGGCTGCACCTGTAGAAACCAGCAGACCTGGGATTTTGGTTACCTACATCAAATGAGTCATTGCTTCTTACACATATGAGGGTCCACACACGTGTTAATTACTATATATTCCGTTGTTTAGGGATACATAGGTTATTAGTCAAACAGAGATCAAAGAAAATTGCCGCTTGAAGAAAACAGCAGTATCTGTGCATTATCTTGTAAATTAAAGAAGCATAAGGACATGGGAAATCTAAGTCGGCATGCCACAATTTATGTTGATTAATACAGTAGTTTTCCAGATATTTGTTAAAGTTTGAGGGCATGAGTTTTGAAACTCACTATAAGAATGGAGTTTTCTTTCCAGTAGAGAGGAGATGCTTTAGGAGAGCTGCTGGGGTAACAAGAAAGGATACACAAACAAGAGGTAGACCACACAAAAAATGGAATGCCAGCACAAAGAACAACCTTAGAAAAGACCACCTTACAAAAGCATTTGAGAGAGAACACAGACGATCCTAACACAACCTCCCTCGCGACCTCAACTCTGCACTGAGGTAACTGGAGAGAGAAAACATTGAAGCATCATGAAGTAATCAAAGGGCATCTGTTCATGGTCGTCTGAGTATAGTTAATCACTCTCTTTCACCAGCTGTAAACTCCGGCAGACAGTTCTGGTTGTACATCCACTTCTAAACTTTAGTCTTGGTCCAGAATCTTAAGTTTTTGCATGCACATCTGTTTTACAGATCTAGCTCATTTTTATGCAGACTACTGGTTCCTTACCAATGAGGCAGATGCACTTAGACTTCAAAGAAAACATCCCTAATTAGTTGACTGTTACAGCATGCTTGTTAGGGAACAGTGGATCTGTTCCCCACACAGTGGGGCTCTGAAACCTGCACAGGGACAGATTGTAACCGTTTCTCTGTTTGGTTTTCAGGGCGCTATGACACCAACTTTGAAACAGTGTTACGAGTTTCTTAACTTGACCAGCCGCAGTTTTGCTGCTGTAATTCAAGCCTTAGATGGTGAACTGAGGTAGGTAATTATTCAGCAAACTATTTTCTAACTGTATATTTTTTTCTTTGTATGTGGGATTATTTGGACAATGGTATTTACTGATTGAGGTCATACATTCCTGGTAATTTGTAAAATGATCAATCAAGATAGATCAAATTTTAATTATCTGCAAAACAAAATTTCCGATAGACTGGCCTTGTCTGCAGAAATGAGTGGAGTAAGAATTTTGGACAGGGCAGACATACTAAATGCGCTGAGTTTAAGAGATGTTGAGACAAAGGAGTCTAGAGACGATGGACCACCTATTGGACATGGGCATTAAACGTGGACAAAAATAAGGAAAGCGTTTGCGGGGCACAGAAAGAAGATGTACCAGTCAACTTCTTCTGGGTATGGTAAGCATGGAGACTGCATCAGAGGACGGAGCACAAGTGGGTCATATCAATATGCTAGGATGTCGATAGCGCAACAAGTAATAAGTGGATGTTTTCTCCAAAGGGTTACCATGGTAGGTGTGTTGAACAGCCTACATCATCTATTGTTTGAGGTCTTATTATATTTAAAATATCTTGGTTAAACAAGGCATCAGTTAGCAGGGTATGCCAGTCATTATAACATTCACTTTTTCAGCTTGTTCAGTTTAAACAGAGAAATTTGAGGATTTTCAGAATAAATATTGTCTGTTTCAGGGATGCTGTGTGCATTTTTTACTTGGTTCTACGAGCTCTAGACACAGTCGAAGACGACATGACAATACCTATTCCAGTTAAAGTGCCTATGTTAAAGTCCTTCTACAAAAATCTGTGGGACCCTAATTGGAACTACACCGAGAGCAATGACAAGGACAGAATTGTGTTGGAGAATTTCCCGAGTGTAAGTTGCATTTATTTGTTTATGTTCTTCTTTTGTTATCATGCTTTTACTGGTTTGTGGCCCACTTTCATGGTTTTCTGTACTTGCCTTGTGGTGGTGGAGTTTGAGGGATGGTTTTGTTCATTCTTTTGCTTGAGTTAGCTATACCATTTAGTCATCTCTTCCTTGATCTTCCTCTTGAATGCCCAGATTTGCTGATGTAGAAGGTATCATATTCAGTTTGGTCTGGCTGCATTATTACTAGATGCCCAAACTGCTTCTGAAAAGCTACAGTCCAGAAAGCAAATGCTGTTACCAGTCAGGTAACCCTGCTGCTTAGATGGCCAAACGACTTCCTTCTGGCATAATAGCAGATGATTAGGCGAAGCGCGCGCCTCTTTTGTGACACGCTCTGGAAATGGGGAAAACCCTATCTTACCACCCTGGAAGTTATTTGACTGTCTCCCGTGACGTCATGGGGTTAGCAAAAAATATAGTTTCCATTTTGTTGTTCTTTGCCGTTTGGGCAGATGCACTCCGACTTCGAAGGAAGTCCCCAGTTAATCGACTCCTATGACATGCTTGCTGGGAAGACAGTGGGTCTATTCTTGTTTTCTCAACAATGGGGCCCCGGAACCCACACAGGAAAGTTATCTTTGATGACATGCTTGTTAAGGGGCAGAACATCTATTTCACTGAAATTGGTACTGTTAGCACGTCAAATCTTCGTTGGCTGCTGAAGAAATGGACGGAGTACCTATAGGAATGTCCCAAGTGCAGTGATGTCAATTCTTGATTGATTGATTCATTCATTATTCTACTCAAAATGAGTCATCGGAACCCACACAGGAAACAAGATTTTGACTGTGAGACCATGTGAAGTTTACCTATAGCTTCTTGTTCCTTTGCTGTAATAGGTTTGACATTCAGGTTCATTTGATTGTCATTGCAGATATCACAAGAGTTTAGAAACCTGGCAGAAATTTACAGAGAAGTGATCTCGGACATCTGCCAGAAGATGGGTGATGGCATGACGATTTTTCTAGAAAGGAAAGTTGATACGATGGAAGAGTGGGATGAAGTAAGTGCTTGTTAGTTTCTCAGCTTCTACATGTTGTTATTGAGTATTGTCCATTTATGTATTCACTCGAGGTTGAACCTCCTCACTTGTACTTTCCAGGTAAAATCTATGTTGACCATTTATGAGGCATCAGTAACCACAGACCTGTAAGAAATTTAAGGTTTGAAATTGGAAGATTGACTTGACTTCATAACACCAGGGTTTATCCCATCTAGTCTGATCTGCTGAAAAACTGGCCACCTGCTGAGATCATCAATCAGAACATGAACTCCAAAGCTGTAGAAATAATCCCTAAAGGTTCTCAGGAAATGAGATCTCAGGATTTCAATGATTAAAGGATCTTAGGATCTTAGTCAAAATAGTTCATGAAGCTAATCCTCCTTCTTATTTTTCTTCTTCTTCACGTTCACCATCTGTAAACTCTGGGAGAAAGTTATGGTTGTTCGTCCACCTCTGGACTTTAGTTTAGTCTTGTTCCAGAACCTGAGTGTTGCAGGCACATCAGTTTTACAGATCTGACTTATTTGTATGCTGATTGTTGGTTCCTTGCCTCAGGCAGAGGCACTCTAACTTTCAAGGATACCCCTAATTAGTCGACTCTTACACTATGCTTGTTGGAGAGGCAGTGGATCTTTTCTTGTTTTCCCCACAATGGGGCCTAAGAACCAAACTACTCACCTTTAGAGTGTGAGGCAAACAGTTTGACCACTTCACCACAGATATAGAATTTATAAAGTTTGCTTCTTCTAGGATGGAAACACTAGGCTAGAACTGTGGTTCCCACAACCTTTGTGTCTGGAGAAACCTTTTGGAACAAATTTCTACAGCAGAACAACTTAGGACTACTATACCCTGTGTGTTACGAGTTGATGTTTAGAAGTAATGATGTTCAAAAGTAATGTTACAGAGCAGAGGGGTTAACAATAAGGGAATTTAAAGTAAAGAAATCTAATGAATGCACCAATAATTTTGCAGCTAGTGGCAACTGAAAGCATCATCTGCTAGAGGAAATGCAAAAGTCAACTTGTCAAAGTTTCATTCAGAGTGTAATTTCAAGTTTTCCTATTTTGATTCTATGTTTTGTTTTTTTATCATTTAATTTCATTCAGTTTTTTTAACCCTGGAGCAGTTATGGTCTTGCACAGTCATTGCGACAGCACAAGCCATACGGCCGTTAACTCCTCAGGCTCAAAGACAACCCCCCCTCCCCTTACACCGCAAAAGTGGTATAAAAAAAGCAGTAATTGGCAGTTATGGTGCCCCTGGGAAGTGCATGAGGATCTGTAAGGGCTCCTTGGAGCACCTGTTAACAACTTCTGTGCTAGAATGCTAGTAAACCAGTGGACCTTTGTTAGTGTAGTTCTTTGTGTGAGTATTGCATAAATTAATGTTATATAATTGCATCACAGCTGTGAAAGTTTCAACACCCAATCTTTTTTTTAAACTGTTTTTCAGTACTGCCATTATGTGGCTGGCCTTGTGGGAATCGGTCTTGCACAACTTTTTTCGGCATCTGGACAGGAAGATGCAATAATCGGTGAGGACACAAGTCTCGCCAACAAACTCGGGCTTTTTCTCCAGAAAACCAATATCATTAGAGACTACTTAGAGGATTGGAACGATAAGAGAATTTTCTGGCCGAGAGCTGTAAGTTTTTGTTGTTATTTACTGTGTTGTTAATTTCTGTATCTTCAGTGTGTCGAGTTGATTCAAGAACTGACATCGCAGCATTCCCTTGGGTGCTCTGTCCCCATCTTCAGAAGCCATTGCAGAGTTCTCTTACCATTAGTGACAGTAGCACTCTGATTATACATCTGCCTTTCCTTTCCTCTGAGAGTCAAGTATCGGCCAGAACCCCTCGTCATTCCCCACTGCATCACTCTCACCAGACTGGTGATTCATTTGCTCCTCCGAATAGTACGCGCTCTCCCACAAGGCACTAACCTTATCATGCTGCATGCATCAGTATTGCACCAAGTTGCGCAGAGCCAGCCAGTCTGTCCTCTTTTTCATTTCTCAACACACCGGCATGATCCAAAGAACAGATCCAGACAATGCTCCTCACCCATTGTTTACTAGGTTTTCATCCTGTGTTTACCAGGTTTTGATTTCCTTGGTGGGCTGTCGGAAAAACAACCTGGGCCTCATTTTGGGAGGGAAAGAATAAACCCTATGCCTCCTTATCAAGCATGTTGTCACAGGTGACTGGTTATGAGTGTTTTCCTGTAATGTCAGAGTGCGTCTACCAAAGAGGTGAGGAACCAACAGTCTGCATACATGGCTGGTTATGGATGTTTTCCTTTGATGACAGAGTGTGTCTACCAAAAATTTAAAAGAAAATGTTAATCAGTTTTATAAGACTGTCAATCCAAGAGCCATGCTGGTTAGAAAAATCTGTCACTTGTGGGATTTGAATTTGGGCAAGCACAGTAGCGACATTGCCAACATAACCGCTCTGTAACTTACTGTATTAACCCCTTTATGGTCATTCTAATGGGTTGGGGGAGTCGATCTTGAGCATGAGAATATGAGTCACGTGGCTTGTGCAGTCAGCTACGAACTGTATAGGGTAGGATTTTATTTTTTCCCTTTAACAGGAAATAATCTGTCACTTTACTGAGGATTCGAACCTCAGTTTCCCAAACGAGAGCTTTGTGTTCTTAACCGCTCATCTAGCTAGCACTTCCTTGGCTGCTGTGATTGCACTATAACTAACTCTTTCAGTTTCAAGAAGTTGGTAATTTAACTCCTCCTACTCCAAAGGGTTGCTCTTAAAAGCAGTAAATACTTAGCTGTAAGAGGCATCGGTGACCGGGTCACCCTTTGGCTCGCTGGTAGACGACCTCGTCTTTGTGTCTGTCTCCTCTGATCACATCAACGATGCAGGAGTCTTTTTCAGGGCTCTTGGTGGCATACAGTGCTAAGCCATTTTATATAGCTGACATAACCTCGTCACAATTATAACATAGAGCTCCCACTCCGGGGATGCTGGTTAAACGCAACTTTTTTTTTCCAAGCAAAGCACCGGACCAGGTCTGAGAGGGGTTCAACGAAGATACTGTGAAACAGAAGTAAACTAACAATTCAGATACTACTGTATGTGACAGAAGACAGCTGAAACACATCATCTTTGGAACATAGGGTGTATTGTTTGGTACTGGAAGAGTTAAAACCTGAACTGTACCTTTCTCTTGAGTTTTATTAATTTTCCTATTTATATTTCACAGACATGGAGCAAGTATGCTTCAGATTTAGGAGACTTTGCTCTGCCAGAAAACCAAGAAAAGGCCGTCCAGTGTTTGAACGATCTGATCACAAATACTCTAGAGCTTCTCCCGTCTGCAGTGCTGTTTATGAGCCGGCTGAAGACTCAGAGCATCTTCAACTTTGTGGCTATTCCTCAAGTAAGTAAATGTCTTGTAAGTTGACCAGATTTTATTGGCGTCTGTGACTTTGAGATCCAACAATTACTGCAGAGGAACGAAATTCCGACTCTACATGAGATTCATTTTGCCAGTTCTTCTTTATGGAGCGGAATGCTGGAGAATGACCAGAAAGGATGCACACAAGCTGTCCACCTTCCACCACACATGTCTACGTAGAATTATCAAAATTTTCTGGCCAGATACAATCTCAAACACTAAACTACTTCAAGTCACAAACCAAGAAACTTTGACAATATGATAACTAAGAGAAGATGGAAATGGCTTGGCCACGTTATAAGAATGAATCCTGATATACCTGCCAAAACAGCTCTCACATGGACACCAGAGGGAAAGAGAAAACAGGGGCACCCAAAAACAACATGGAGACGAACGATGCAAAGTGACCTGAGTGCGGCATCTTTGACAGGGAAAACTGCACTGAAGATTGCACAGGACAGGAAAGCATGGAAAGTCCTCTCTGAAGCCTCATGTGTCACTAGGCACAACGAGAACTGATGATGATGATGTGACTTTGAGGTTATAAACCGTTAAACAAATTTGACAACACATAGAGTTGGCAGTCAGCTGCAGGTTTTCCATGTGTGGGCTCTCTACCCCCCACCCAATCCCTTCAGATAATTTTGTAAAAGGTGACTAATTATTGGTTTGCTGAAATCAGATGTTGTACCATGAAGCACAGATGTTGTACCATGAAACACAGATGTTGTACCATGAAGCACAGATGTTGTACCATGAAGCACAGATGTTGTACCATGAAGCACAGATATTGTACCATGAAGCACAGATGTTGTACCATGAAGCACAGATGTTGTACCATGAAGCACAGATGTTGTACCATGAAGCACAGATGTTGCACCATGAAGCACAGATGTTGTACCATGAAGCACAGATATTGTACCATGAAGCACAGATGTTGTACCATGAAGCACAGATGTTGCACCATGAAGCACAGATGTTGTACCATGAAGCACAGATGTTGTACCATGAAGCACAGATGTTGTACCATGAAGCACAGATGTTGTACCATGAAGCACAGATATTGTACCATGAAGCACAGATGTTGTACCATGAAGCACAGATGTTGTACCATGAAGCACAGATGTTGTACCATGAAGCACAGATATTGTACCATGAAGCACAGATGTTGTACCATGAAGCACAGATATTGCACCATGAAGCACAGATGTTGCACCATGAAACAGTTGTTGTACCATGAAGCACATATGTTGTACCATGAAGCACAGATATTGTACCATGAAGCACAGATATTGCAGCCTCACTGTAAACTACAACACAGCATACTAGCCAACCTTTTGAGGGCAAACACAGACATAGAGAGCTGCAGGTGATCTGAAAGCAGACCACTTTGCGGGGATTCTGACAACAGAATGGTTGTTGTGCCATTTATATAGTGATGGCCAGCTACTGAAGGATAAATTGCCTAGTAGGACCACAAACAGCCAATAAGTACTAGGATGGGTTTGTGACGTCCTGATGACAATATGACTTCTTTTACTTCGGAGGACGGAAGAATAAATCGGGGAAAAGAAACGAGATGTCAGCAAGCCAGTGCACTTGTGTACCAACTGACACTGTTATTAAGACATCAAAACATAAGTATGAGCGCCAAGAAGCAGATTATAAACAGCATATTCATATCAGCACTGTGCTACCAGTGCCAGACTTGGACATTAACAAAGGCTATCTATCTATCTGTCTGTCTGTCTGTCTGTCTGTCTGTCTGTCTGTCTGTCTGTCTGTCTGTCTGTCTGTCTGTCTGTCTGTCTGTCTGTCTATCTATCTATTGTCTTCTGCACTTTTACCGGGTTGCAGCCCAGTGTCGTGGTTTAAAATATTTGTTTTGTGCCTCTCGCGTGATTTGAGTGACAGTTTATTATTGATATATAAAACCTGGCCAAGATGGTGGAATAAGCTGCGGCTATCACTATGCAGTTTTGATAAATTTTGTTTTAGGGGATTTCCATCAAATTATTGTTCAAACAAGGATGATCCAACGACAGGCCCAGCAAGCCGGTAGGGGATTTGTTTGTTCAAGCACCGTTGCTCAAGATTTATGGTGTATTATATATTATCAAAGGCTAACCTACGTAAAATTAACACCTGTGAAATGAGATGCCTGAGAAAAGCCGCCAGCTTAACCATTTAAGACAAAGTTAGAAATGATATTACCAGACAGACTGTAGGAACAAAACCATGCAGCAAATTCATTAAGAAACAGAAGATCAAATGATTTGGTCATTTAGTAAGAATGCAACCAGAACAACTACCAGCGCAGGCGCTACACATGAAAAGATCTGAAATAAAAGCAAAAAGCCACTCTAGGAGAACATGGATTGATGACAAAGAGTTTCTGCATCAACACGGAATGACAATAGCCATTACTGCCCATCAAGCAGTGGATCGCAAACAGTGCTTCCCCATAACGCTTAACGGCAGAAGTGTAAATTGATGATGATGATGACATCTTCAACTCCGCTAAGACCGGTCCCAAGCCCGGCTGTAAAAGGAGGAGGGTCTGGCTGAACCTGAGTGCTTCATGCGTCTCCGGAAGTAGTGGGTAACCGTGAATCAGCCAGACGGCCTGCATGGAGGCCGCAAGGAGGCAGCCCCTCCACCATGCAAAGGCACAACAGGCCAATCACCTGTTTGCCTTAAACCACGATTACAAGTAACTACAGAGAGAAAACCGGACGGATCTTAACGGCGACGAACTGGCATGGCTTACGGACTACGATTTATGGAACATGGAATATAAGAGGCATTAACGGAAAGGAAAACGAGTTAGTAGGGGAGATGAGGAAAGCAAAATTAGGAGTCTTGGCTCTGACTGAAACCAAGAAAAAGGGGCAAGGAATCACAGATCACGATGGAAGTATGCTGCTCTACAGTGGTGTCCCTATGACGGAGAGAGCCAAGGGAGGTGTTGGCTGTATTGTGGCCAGGAATCAAGTTAGTAACATCAAGGGATGGAAATTCATCTCAGAGCGAATAATGGTGTTAGATCTGAAAGAAGAAGATAAAATTGTCAATTTTGTCATTGTGTACGGGCCAAATGAAGATGAGCGAGTAGATGTTAAAGAAGAATTCTTTGAACTGCTCCAAAAGACCATAGATGACTGTCACGATGAAATTATCCTCCTAGGAGATCTAAATGCCAGAGTAGGAAATGATCACTCTAGATGGGGTGGAGTGATCGGGAGATATGGTGAAGATGTTTTGAATGATAATGGCAAGCGACTTCTCAGATTCTGCAGGGAACAGAACCTTGTCATTACAAACACAAAATTCCCCCCCACAAGCGTATACATGCATACACAAGATGTGAACCTTCAAAGAATGAAAAATCCATCATTGACTACGCCATAGTTAGGAAAAGTTCATTCAAGTTTGTGAGAGATGCCAGAGTCATGAGAGGACCAGAGATTGGAAGTGACCACTATCTGGTCACAATAAAGAGAACACAACTGAAAGAACTGCTCCAACAAGGCAACACCGACAACTATGCAAGAAACCAAGCAACCAAGAAGGGATGAGGATTAAAGCATACAAGCTAAGAGAGCCAGATATTAAGGCTAGATACCAGGAGCTTATAGTGAAAGCAATAGGAACTGAAGAAGAATCATCAGAGGACACTGAAACTCTCTGGTGCAGACTCAAGAATATCCTCACAGCAGCTGCAGTAGAAGCATGTGGTGAAGTCCCAAGTGGAAGGCGGGGACACAGGACACCTTGGTGGACAGAAGAAGTCAAATTGAAAATAGGAGAAAAGAAAAGGGCATGGAAGCAATACCTGGCAGCCAGGAACACAGCTGAAGAAATAGAAAAATATAAACAATATGTGGCACTCAGAACAGAGACCAAAAATATTGTGCTTAAAGCAAAACAGAAATCATGGGAAGAGTTTGGAGAAAAGTTGGAAAAGAATGCAAGAGAAAACCAAAAACTGTTCTACAAGACCCTTAAGAACATGAGGAAGGAGAAAGAGTGCCCACTTAAATTCATAAAAGACAAGGAAGGGGCTCTGCTTACTTCTACAAATGATATCATGGGCAGATGGAAAGAATACTTCTCAGAGCTCCTCGGCGCTGAGGGAAGTCATGACCCAGAAATAATGGACCTCACTGCTGAGAAGGAATTCAATCATGGGGAAGATAACATCAGGATGGAAGAATTGAAGGCAGCTATTGAGAAGATTAAGCTGGGAAAAGCAGCAGGTCATGATGGTATAACACCAGAGATGGTCAAATATATGGGAGTCGAAGGTGAGCGCCTTCTACTGAAGGTTCTCCAGGCAGCCTGGTGTAGCAAAACTATACCAAAAGATTGGGAGATTGCCATCATTATACCTATATTTAAAAAAGGTGATAACAGACAATGTGAAACCACAGAGGCATATCCCTCCTCAGCATTCCCGGTAAAAGTTACTCTAGAATTCTTGAGCAGAGACTTAGAAGTCTGGTAGAGCCACAGCTGGACGAGGCCCAGTGCGGCTTCAGAGCAAACCGAAGTACTCAAGACCTTATCTTCACACTGAGACAGATGAGTGAAAAAGCCCTGGAATATAAGAGTGAGATTCACTTATGTTTTTTGGATCTGGAAAAGGCATTTGACAAGGTACCCTGGAACAAGCTCTGGGACTGCTTGGCAGGGAAAAACATCCCAGCACCCCTGATCAGTGCAATACAGAGTTTCTACAAAAAGTGCAGAAATTATGTAAGAACAGCAGACCAAAAGTCAGAAGAATTTAAGACCACCAGCGGTGTTAGACAAGGTGATATTCTCTCACCTTACCTCTTCATTCTTATGATGGATGATGTCATCAAGACCTGTAAGGAGAAGACAAAGAAGTACTCTGTAGGGTACTGGAAGATGAGACCAATCTGTATATCAGAGCTGGCTTTTGCAGACGATGTGGCCCTGATAGCTAAATCAGAGGCACACCTTCAGTCCAACTTACTTGTCTGGAAGGAAGAGCTTGAAAAGAAAGGGATGACCATCAGTGTCTCCAAAACTAAAACCATGGTGATCTCAAGAGAGGAGAAGAAACACCAGATCATGATGGGTCAGTATGCGTTGGAGCAGGTTAACCAGTTCAAATACCTTGGAGTTGTATTAGACCAAAATGGAGGCATTAAGACTGAGCTGGCTACACGAAAAGCAGCTGCTGGGAGACTCTTCCAGGCCATAAACCGAGGGTTTCTTAGCAAAAGAGAAATTGGCAAGAGAACGAAAATGGCTGTTTACCGCTCTACCTATGTACCAGTCCTGACCTATGGGTGTGAGTCATGGGCAATGACAACAGCTCACAGAAGCCAGCTGCAGGCCTCGGAAATGAGATACCTGAGAAAGGTGGTCCAAGTGACAAGAAGGGACAAAGTCCGCAATCAGACAATACGTCAAGATCTTGATACCCAGCCCTTACTAACCCGAGTGGATCAGTCACAGTTACGATGGTTTGGACATGTGTGCAGAATGGGAGAAAATCGGCCACCATGGCAAGCATGGGAGGCTAAGAACCAGGGAACCAGACCTCCGGGACGACCCAGGGTGCGCTGGGAAAACAACATCCGACAGTCCCTGACTGACAGAGGACTGGAATGGAACAAAGCCAGAAAGAAAAACTGCTGATAGAGACGTCTGGCGATCTCTCTGGCAAACCTCTACACCCCAAGGTAGAAGAGGAGCGACTAAGTAAGTAAGTAAGATGACATCTTCTTAGCGTTCATCGGCTGTACACGCACTTGGAAAGTTCTGGTTGTTCATCCACTTCTGGACTTGGATCTTGTTCCAGAACTTGAGTTTTGTTTTCCCATCTGTTTTACAGTTACACATTTGGCTTATTTATATGCAGACTGTTGGTTCCTTATCTCTCAGGCAGGTACATGCTAACTTAAAAGGAAGTGCCCCTAATTAGTAACTTTTTACTATATGCTTGCGGGATCGGGGGGAGGGGGTTGTGTCTATTCTTTTCACCTCAAAATGGGTCTTGGAATCTACATGGGGAAATAAGGATGTGGGACTTTTAGTTGTTGTTAAGTGTCCATGTCTCACACCTGTACTTATGTTTAAAAAAAACAAACAATACCTACTATTACTGGGGATTTGACCCAAACCGTTTTGTTGTGGGGGAGCACATACACAAACCACTGTAACACTTAATGCAAATAAGAATCAGAGAAAACACTAGATCGGTGATGGTTAACCTTTTTGTGGGCTACTTTTTAATTTTGGAAGTCACTGGCAGTCTGCTTTATAGATATACTATAGACTAAGGAAAAGGAATTGCCCGGCACACTAGCTAAGTTGGTTAAACCAGCTGTGCGGCGACCGGTACAAACTCCTTGTGGTCCAAGTTCACGCTCAGGGGTAGGCAGAAAAGCCACATATTTCCAAGATTTACGGTATCTGTCATGGAATCAGGGCCGAAGGGTTGTGATATCCATAGTACCAAGCAAAAGAGTTTACAACTCATGGTTTTTGGATTTAAAATTAAAATATAAAAAAAAAAGGCCACACTATTGTGGGATTCCTCTTACTGCTTGTCGATTGACTAGTGGACTGCGGTCGACACGTTGGTCATCCCTACACTAAATTAACCTGCCTGTACAGGTAAACAGTAAAGTAACAGGTCTCTGCAGGTAATTACTAAATGAAGCTACCTTCACAGGTAAACAGTAATGCTACCTGCCTCTGCAGGTAAACGGTAACGTAACCTGCCTACTCACGTAAACAGCATGGCTTGTGTTTTTGCAGGTCATGGCTATAGCCACTCTAGAGCGCTGCTACAACAATCCTAAAGTGTTCTCTGGTGTTGTCAAGATCAGAAAGGGCGAGGCTGTGCGGATTATGATGGGATCCACGTCGCTGGAAAAAGTCAAAGCCATAATTAGACACTTCACATTACAGGTAATGACTGTCTCTGGTAGTTGTCTTGTTCAAATGTTGTATCGATGTCTCAGCACTGGGGACATTCCCTTAAGCGCTCTCTCCTCACCCTCAGCAGCAAGCGCAGATTTCCAATTTCTTATGTACCAGTAACTGATAGTATATCTGTCTCACCTTTTCCCTGAGTGTTGATTGTCGGCCAGATTCTCTGGTCTATCCCGGTAGCACCACGCACTATTCACTCACCGCCGTGGGGGTGGGGGGTGTGGGGCTCTGCTAATCACTGTATCTAACATGATTTATCTTTTCCCCTTGAGTGGTGTTCAGATGTTAAAGTGTAAATGACAGATCTCACCAATCTACAGGTCCTGTACAGGACCTCACTCTCGTCAAGGCACCCCTAAAAATCCAACTTTCTTTAGCCAATTCTCCAGCCTTCTGTGCTTTCTTAGCCAATGCACTGTCAGAGTGGAAAACATCAGAAAGGGACAGTCATAATTTTTGGGGGGTCACATTTGAAAAGAGAGAAACTGGAGCATTATGTGACATCTGGAAAGATTTTTGGGGAGACTGTGCACCTGGTATTATGGTGCAGAAAGAAATGTATGTAAAAAAGAATGATTGTCTGTACACAAGACAGAAGGCTGTGGTCAGATATAGTGACCAGCATTACACTTGCCACTCACTGGATGATGTGGTCAACATCACACTTGCCACTCACTGGATGATGTGGTCAGCATCACACTTGCCACTCACTGGATGATGTGGTCAACATCACACTTGCTACTGATTGGATGATGTGGCCAACATCACACTTGCTACTGATTGGATGATGTGGCCAACATCACACTTGCCACTCACTGGATGATGTGGTCAGCATCACACTTGCCACTGATTGGATGATGTGGTCAGCATCACATTGGCACTCACTGGATGATGTGGTCAACATCACACTTGCCACTCACTGGATGATGTGGTCAACATCACACTTGCTACTGATTGGATGATGTGGCCAACATCACACTTGCTACTGATTGGATGATGTGGCCAACATCACACTTGCCACTCACTGGATGATGTGGTCAGCATCACACTTGCCACTCACTGGATGATGTGGTCAACATCACACTTGCCACTTACTGGATGATGGGGTCAACATCACACTTGCCACTGATTGGATGATGTGGTCAGCATCACATTGGCACTCACTGGATGATGTGGTCAACATCACACTTGCCACTCACTGGATGATGTGGTCAGCATCACATTTGCGATTGATTGGATGATGTGGTCAACATCACACTTGCCACTGATTGGATGATGTGGTCAGCATCACATTTGCCACTCACTGGATGATGTGGTCAGCATCACACTTGCCACTGATTGGATGATGTGGTCAACATCACACTTGCCACTCACTGGATGATGTGGTCAACATCACACTTGCGATTGATTGGATGATGTGGCCAACATCACACTTGCCACTCACTGGATGATGTGGCCAACATCACACTTATCACTCACTGGATGATATGGTCAACATTACACTTTCCATCTTCACTTCTTGGAATGTTTTCCTGGTACCTATTTTAGGCAGGCTATATGTATGGAAACAAAGGAAGGGAAAGGCAAAAGATATAAATACTTGGCTGACTTAGCCATATGAATTTGGGGCAAGTCAGATCCATGATTCTGGTGAATGTGTGGGGTAGTTTAAATTGACAGCCTGTGCTTTTGGTGTGGCACATGATAGTGATGATTTTAGACTCAGATGAACTGGGAGCCAAGATCATTTTTTACAAACATTTCCGTGCGGATTCAAACATGTGTTTAATTGGCTACCTGGCAGGCGTACTAATTACTGTAGTACCCCAACTCTTAGTTAAGATCACATGAAACTAAAATTATGTTAGTCCCCCCCCCCCACCCCCCCCCCCCCCCCCCCCGCGAGGTAAATGACATAAAATTATATTATTTCTCCCTTCTTTCAGATTAATGACATATAATTATGTGTTCTTCTTTCCTTCTTTCAGATTAATTACATAAAATTATGTGTTATTCGTCCCTTCTTTCAGATTAATTATATACAATTATATGTTATTCCTCCCTTCTTTCAGATTGACATAAAATTATGTGTTATTCCTCCCTTCTTTCAGATTAATGACATAAAATTATGTGTTATCCCTTCCTTCTTTCAGATAAGTGACATACAATTGTGTTATTCCTCCCTTCTTTCGGATAAATGACATAAAATTATGTGTTATTCCTCCCTTCTTTCAGATAAATGACAGAAGGTGATCATTATTTTATTTCTCCCTTCTTTCAGATAATTGAGAGGATTCCCGATACAGATCCCAATGCCAGTAAAACCCGTGCCGTGTGCCAGAAAGTTCTAGAGGTCACGGAAACACAGCAGGAGTACACCACCTCAACCATCTATCCACCCCTGTACATGAGCATGGGCTTGATGTTGACCGCTATTGCCTACACATACTGGTCTCAGATACTTCAGCTCTACGATGATTTGTTCTGAGTTCTCATCCTTTTCACACCACATTGTTTTCATGATGAACAGTTGACCTTTCTGTTACTAATCCTATGCTCTTTTCTATGAATAACAGTACTTATTTTTTTTTTTTGGGTACCTTTCTATTACTAATCCTATGTTATTTTCTACGAATAACAGTACTTTTCTTTGTACCTTTCTATTACTAATCCTGTGTTCTTTTCTATGAATAACATTACTTCTTTGTATGTGTGTGTGTGTACGAGCTTGTTCTAAATTCTGATCATCTTGTGTAACTTCTGTCTTCTTTGCAGCACTTAAAAGGTGATGTGATGATCAACATCACACCAGCCACATTTTCCCCCAAGATTTTAACTCATATTGTTTTAAGCTGATTCAGTTTAGGAGCCAAATTCATTATTTAAAAAAAAAGTGGATTTGAACCCGTAACCTTCATGTTTAGCCACTATTCCACAGTGGCTTGTTTTCACTGTGCACAAATTAAATCTCTGTTACTCATGCTGTAATTATGTCGAGAGACAGTCATCATTTTTTGGTCATGTTATGAGAAAAGGGGAACTAGAATATGTGACTGCTGGAAGGATCTGTGTATGGAGAGACAGAGAAGATTCTTGACAGCTTTTTGAGATGGCATGGAAGGATGTCAGCACACAAACAGATACACGCAGTGCGGATAGTGGATTATGGAGAGGCATGATCGCCTACGCCAGTGGGCAAGGCACTTGATGATGATGAAGTTCTGTCTGACAAATAACACTGTCTCATATTTGTGCTTGTTCTGTATTATGACCTTTTTGTGAAACTTTCTTAAGACTTTGTGCAGCACATTGATTTTGTCAATTAATTAGTTGTTTGAATACTATATTTGTTTGTTACAAATAACAGTATCTCTGTTTTTCTGATCCTCTTGTGCGACTTTCTAGTGTCTTCTTTGCAGCACATAATTGTCATCATGTATATGTTATGTTATTACAGTTAACATCACTGCACATTCAGCATTCCCATGCATGCTCAGTCCTCCAATGCAGCAGCCACTCCAAGGCACTTTTACTAAGTGTTCCCATTAGAGGTTTGTTATAATATCTCCTATTTCGGCTTTGATGGCGGTATAGACGTGCTTCACCACGCTTGACTCCCAGACGTGTTAGTGTCAGAGATTCGTCCTTATCCACCTGCCAAGTCCTAAATCATGTATAACTGACCCTTCTATTACTAATGCTGTGAGTTCTTTCCTGCAAACGTAAAATAGTACCCTTGTATCTGAGCATCTCCATGTCTCTGTTATGTTGTTAGCCTTAATCATTCTGTATTATACAGTTCACCGCACATTGAGACTAAGAGTACTTTCTGCGCAATCCATTTTTTCAACTTGGTTCATTCTATTTGGAATATAATTAATACAATACAGTCGGCTATAAATGTGAGAGCTGAATTCGGCATGCTGTTCCCAAGGGTACACAACTATTTACAAAAAAAACACACTTTACTGCACATCAAAAAAACAAAAACCCAGGTCAGAGTACTTATAACTTGCTTGAAGTTAATTATTGCTTGTATTTTATTGGCAAAATGCTCAAACGGTTCAATGGCAGATTATTCTTTTTCTTATACTGTCTGGTTACATATGTTGGCTGCATTATTGTGCAGTTAACAGTGGTTGGTAGATGTTTGTTGCATTCAGTTCTGGTTTAAAAGTGGCCGGCCACAAAGGGTTAGAGTTTATTCACAGTATCCATTTGTTTCTGGTGATATTCCATGTTCCTTTGATCTCGTTGAGGAGAGCTAGCCATTGTTTAATTGGATAAGGAAGGAATTACAGGAGGTCTTCTATGTAACTGCATGCATTATACATTTCATGGTCTTTGGGAATAGCAAAATACAGGTTGTAAGGCCACTTTCATAATCAAAGAAAATATTAAAAGTGAGGGTTGGGTGGACCTTAAGGACGGGGTGCGTTATACACAAGTAGTACCTCATATGCATTAGGTAGTCCATATTGGGGGGGGGGGGGGGGGGGGGGAGGAATCTACTGCTCCTTAGAATGTTGAATAAAACAACTAATTACGGTTTCTGTTGGAATCGGATGTGTTGGTCTGACAGGCACGAAAGTCGCAGCCTGGCTGCAAACCACAACACAATGTACCAGCTGCTCTTCTAAAGGGCAGAAACAGATGACAGATGAAGATCCATAAGTAGATGGAGTGTGTCAATTTGGTTAGAACTTGTTGAGAAGTGAATGTTATTTAGAAGCGAAAAGAAGTAAGACATACTGGCTGAGTGTGAAAGATATACAGGATACCCCATACATTTCCACATATGGGGAAAACCTATCACCAGCACCATTACAGGCCTAACTCCACCTGTGCTTATAAGTTGAATGAAGAATCAACATCGTAGCACTCGAGACACTTCCCCATAAGCGCTCCTTCCCCATCTTCAGCAGTAAGCGGAGAGTTCCAGTTCCGATGGCACCAGTAACTGTTTGATTATATATACGTCTTGCCGTTGCCTTGAGTGTTGAGCGTCAGCCAGTTACTCTGGTAACTCGATTCTCCAGAGACCTTAACGATTTGTTTCTGCCTCCGCACTCTTCACTCGCTCCCAAAGGGCCCTCACAGCATCTAGCTTGTCATACATCAATTCACCACCAGGTGGTGCAGAACCGGCCAGTTTGTCTGCTTATAAATGTTTTTCAGCAATGGAAGAAACGTCTCAAAATCTGTTTTTAAAAAAAGTTATTTTTTCAGTGTGTAGAAACTGATGGGACATTGTGTGTAAGGAAATGTGAGACACTTTTCTGAGATAAAGAAATAGCAATTTGGGGTTTGCTGATAATAATGACCAGTTTTGTTTCTTGTTTGCTGTAAAAAAAATGTGGCTCATTTTTGTTACTGTACCAATTTAAAAGTTTTTTTTTTATTGTCAATTATAATGTTAACTAACATGTTCTGTTGATTAATAGCTGAAAATGGTTTAAATATAGTGATTAGATTATGCTCAGTTATCGTAGGAAAATTGCAAACTCCATAGAAAGAGCAAATAGTTTTCATACAGTTTTGTTGTTGTTACATTGAAGCTGCCATGTGTAAATATTCTGAATCAGTGAAATTGTCAAAGAAGAAAGAAGAAAAAAACCCCAAATATTTGGGCATTTATGTATTTATTCAACTCTTATGGTACCTAGAAAAGCATCATGTGTTTATTTCTAACAAACTTATCAAATTTCCCCCCTGCTACCAAAAGAGTAAATAGTCAATTGTCGAGTCTGCATATTTAGTGGTAGATCTTTCCTTGTGGGCACTTATTTGTGGGGGAGGGAGGGGGGGGGGTGGTGGACCCACTGCCCTTTAGCAACCATATATGTCAGGGATGGCTAGTAAGGGTTTTGCTAACATGGGTTGTGTTGGATGGAAAGGTGTGGATACTGCAGCCTGGCTGAATACTACAAGTTACAACAGAATGTGCCAGCCACCTGTTTGAGGGCAAATGCAGAAGAGAATAATTTTGTAAGGGATGGCTAGTTAGGGTTTTGCTACAATGGGATGTGTTGTGTAGAAAGGTGCGGATTTTGCAGCCAAGCTGTATACTACAAGTTACAGTGGAATGTGGCAGCCACTTTATTGAGGGGAAACATGGAAGAAGTGGAGATCTCCCTCACTGTACCCTGAACACTGCAGTCCGTAAAGTATATAGATCCCCACCACAGGATATCCCTCAGTGTGTGGCGACACCGGTTCTGTGTTGGCTTACTACTGTTTTGTTTTGCCCTCCTGCTATTTGCTTTTGACTTTCTGAGCATCTTTTCACATAACTACAGTCAATATTTTTTCAAACTTGTGCATTTGTCTAAATCAGAAGGAATTACTTCCATGCAGCTGAGGACACCTGTGCAAGACTTTATTATATTATTTTTTTTTAAAAATTAGCAGATGAAATGATTTGGTCATGTCACAGGACAGTGCCTCACCCACACACACACAAAAAAAACAAACAGATGAAATGATTTGGTCATGCAACAATGTTGTTACAGGACAATACCCCACCTAAAAATGTTAGCACTTAAGATAAATTGAGAAGATAACAAGAGATCATGTCACAACTGAAGCATTCCTGGAAAATCTGTTGCTGTGAATACCACAGTGTATGATGCATATACACTAGAGATGTCTCTTCTTAAACTGACTGAAAGGCACAACACAGGAAGGCTAAACTGGTCATCAAGCTAACACCCGTCTGCTGCAAACAGTCGCAACACAGTTTCACACACACAGACACCCCCCCCCTCCCCCAAATGTGTACGAATGAAGAAGTTGGAGTAAGTGAGATAGGGATAGAGAAAACAATTGTTTAATTTTTGCTTTTGGTGTCTCTTTTCTAGTGAGGTCTATCCATAAATTTTAGTAGACCTCATTCTGGTTATGAATTCAGACTAGATCTTGATTTCACCAAATTCTATTTCCTTCTTTACACATTTTTTTGGGGCATTAATTTTGTCCCTTTGTACCCTATTATTGGAAAATCTCTGCATGCATCTATGCATATTTCCCTCTGTTATCTGGTTTGGGTAGTGGCCACTTGGTTTGTGGCTGCTCCTTTTATTGTAGCTGTTTTAAATAATCAGCTATATATGTCTTAGACTTTTCTTAGTCGGGGCGCCTTTTTTCAATTACAATTTTTCCTCAGCGCCCTAACCTATGTAAAAGTATGACTTTTCGTATGTAAGAAATAAACAAAAAATGGTTTCTACGAATATTTTGCGGCGCCTCTGTGAAGAGGGTGCGGCTCCCCGGGGGCACCGTGGCGCAGTTTGGGAATCACTGTCTTAGACATAAACAAAAAAATATACATAGACGAGATTAGATCCAACAAGCTAAAGAAAAGGGTTAAGAGTGGTACTTTGCACCATTCATGATAAAATGGACTTTTTCTCCATTTTGGACTTTACCTAACTTTTGCTTTGAAGGTGTTGGGCATGGTATTCTTTGTTCCCATTAACCAGTTTGTAT